TCTCTCTCTCTCTCTCTCTCTCTCCCTCCCTCCCTCACTATCTCATCATCACATTTATATAAAATATAGAAAAAGCAATAACTGATGCAATTTGTAAAAGCGATGCGAGAGAAACAACACCACAAAACAAATTGCTAGCCTAATCAATAAATGATGCAATAGTTACGCAATCCATTGCGAAAAGTAATAACAATTAAATTTAATGCAATAGTCAAACATTATTTCAAAGATTTTTAACAATATTTTCTAAACAAAAATAATAAACAAAATCAAATGTCAACAAACTATACATACCTTTGCAATGATTCAAAAGCATAAGTACTTCGTGGACACCGTCTCCGCAGTAATTGATGGCGGAGTCGACTAAACCGACAATATTTTTATGCGAACCTAAGTTTGTCTAATAAACGATAAGAAAATTAATTATTTAAAACACAGATAACATATGCGATAAATGGCATCAATTGGTCGGTCATTGCTTACAGCGATCTGTATCTCCCGTTTACAGACATTCAAATCGTAATCGTTATTAACAAACATGCGTTTGAGTGCATATCGGACTCCGTTGTGGGCCTTAACCAGAAAGACGAGCGCAAAACCACCTGAAATAAGTGATCAAACAATTTAAAACAATCAGTGCTTTACAAACAATCTATATATTGTATATATTTGTATATATTTCTATACATTTCTCTTTAATTTTTATTACAAAATACAAATCAAAAATCAATTAACCATAAAAATGGGAACAATTCTAAAGACTGCAGACAATAAAATGGTTGTCAAATCTTAAAGACTAATTGAGGGCACGAATGAACGGCACAACTGAATGAGGTTTAAGGGTTGAGTGACCAACACATATATATTTTTATCATAAGCATTAATAGCAGTACAAAACGCCCACTGGGCCCACCCCTCCCGCAACTCCGTTTTTACGTCCACCCCATCGAAAATACGAAATACAGTGCAACCTCTCTTGGGGCTACTTCTCTTAGGGAAACTTTAGGATTTGGGCCGCGCCGGCGGGTAAATTGGACTATATATGCTTATAGCCAGTGGTCTGAGGATCACAAATCTGTTTTCAAAGTTTGCGGGAAACATTTGGTTCCGAAGATATCGCGGATCAAGTGACTGATCCCATAGGAACGCATGATAAACAATATATTTATTTTAATGGATAAAATTATTTATATTGTTGTTCCGGACAGTGGAGTATATATATTATATTATATATTATAGTTAAGTTAAGTTAGGTTAGGTTAAATTGGGTTAGGTTAGGTTAAATTGGGTTGGGTTAGGTTAGGTTAGGTAAAAAATGAAAGTTTTGTTTATAATGGGGTTCTATGGGAAAGTCAGTCACTTGATCCGCGATATCTTCGGAACCGTATGTTTCCCGCAAACTTTGAAACCAGATTTGTGTACTTCAGATCAGCAGCTATCAGAATATATTGTCCAATTTACCCGCCGGCGCGGCCCAAATCCTAAAGTGCAGCCAACGCCTCCTTCTAAGAAACTTAATTAAAATATTTGTTGCATTTCCTATACTTATAAATTATAAGTTATAATGTAATGTAATGTAACCTCCGTTGGAGAAACCCATCTATAAAAAACACTTGCACTACAACTGACCGTTCCTTATGCAGAGGTTGAACTGTATATAAATGTGATACAGTAGTACTGTATATCATTTCGCAAAAGAATTTAACGCTAAACCCGAATATTTTCTATCTCGAATAATTTCGAATAAATCGGGATCAGAAGCTCCCATAGAAAACTATTAGAAAATTATTTTTATGAAATATTTTTTAAGTTAAATTTTGTTATATTATGTTAAGTAAAGGTTAGGTTAGGATTGTTTGTGGGTTTATATACTGATGATAAAAATATAAACGTAAGGACAAAACTTAGTTCCTTCTTAATTATTGAATAAAAACTGCACTGGTGGTTTAATCAACAAGGTTGCCCAATTATTCTACAGATAATGTAGCCAAATTCACTCATTGAGACCATTTTTGTAACTATCATGGTTATTTAGTAAATTCAATTTCTAAAAAACATTACATTTCAAAAAAATCTCTATAGAAAACAACAGGAAATTTTCAAATTATTTTGTACTAGACTAATATGGATATATGCACAATTAGTAATTGTAATTGTCAATTACAATGTCCATATTGATTATCAAGTTGATTATTTAGACTAATTGGGTTAATTTAAAGGATTATGACCAACAGCTATGCTATTTTTGTGATAGTTAATTGGCTAATAGTAACACTTAATGGTGACAATTAGTGAATGCATTTGTAAATGTGATCAATAGACTACACAGTGTGTAGTACACACTATATGATTGACATTAAAATGAATAGACTGTCTGTTAGTGTTGTGGTGGCGACAGTGGATGTGCTGGTCATGAGGACAGTGTGTGTCAGTGTCTGGGATGGCATACCTTCAGCGATGGTGTCTTCGACGGTGCACTGGAACCGATTGACCGAAAATACTTTCCCGACATAACTATTGCTAACGTTATTACTATTGGCGACTGAGTTGTCCCGACTGTGATCGCGACCAGAGGTCTGATTGTCCAGACGTTGGAACAGTTTCTTCATTCTTCTGGTGTTGTGGTTATCTTCAGACGAGTTGGCGATCAAACGGATCGTTCAATTCAATGGCGATTCTTATAAATTGTGTTTATTATTGAAAACCAAACCATAGATCACAACACAATTGCGACCATTAAATAGTCGTTTCACTCATTATTATAACAATTATTACTTAACTATTATTATATCGATTAATACCGAAATGTATTGAGTGTTGTATTGAGTGGTGTATTGAGTGTTATGTTTATAACAGTTATGTTGACCACAATTAGCGCACAATTTATTGACACAAATCTGATGATTGAAAGCAAATGAAAAGCAATTGTAATACAAATCACATTATAGTGTAGTCTATGTGTTATATATGACTATTCATTGGCTTATTATTGTTATTTACACTCATTTTCATGTAATCATTACATTATAGCCTTTACTTCACTCCCAATGAGACTAACACTCACTGTTTGTACGTCTCTCTCACTCTCTCCCCCACAATACACAATCACTCCCGCACTCACTCTCTCTCTCCCTCTCTGTCCACAGCTATTCAAAGCGTTTCTAATATTGTGTTGTGTTTTGTCTGTAATTTTTTTTTCTGTATTTCACTTGCGATACGTTTGCAAACATTGACTCAAATGTGTCGACCCGTACAGCAATGCTGTGCGCTCTGTGTGTGAGTCCGGGTCTCACACTCTCTGTGCCATACATTTCCATACATTTTCAATGCCATTCATTACGAGCACAACGCGAACGCTTCACTGCAATGCACTGCTTATATGGAAGAGAGCGTAGAATTGCTTACGAATACTTGCATTGCAGTGAAGTTAGTAGTTGTACAAAAGGGGTTATGAATGTTAATTCTGCATATTTATCGGTAACTTTACTACTGTTGTAATAATAGGGGAGTAAATATATCGGACGTATACTATTGTTAATCTATAAACCCATTAAAACCTCAAAAAGTCAAATGTTTACTGCAGTCGTTCACAAAGAACGTCGATAAAATTAAACAAACATTGATTGACATTATTTGACAGGTATTATAGCTATTGGTTTAACATTGCGATCAATAGAGAGCATTAGGAAAGCTTCAAAATAATAATTTCATTGCTATTGCATTCATATTCTGCAATATATTTAACATTTCGTGCGATTATTGCATTGAAAATTGCATTTTAATATTCACTGGTTTAAAAATATACATATTTAAGTTGTTACAATTATTCTGTATAATGTTACAACTCTGACTCATAGACTATATTGAGTTAATTAGTTGATTAGTTCATTAATGCCGTTTTGATCATGATTATAGAACATTGTATGTTACATAAGCTATTAGTGAATCATCTAGCTCATACTTGTAGAATTTTACTGTACAATTTAATAGTAATTACTAGTTATTAATTGTGAGTTGGATTAGTAGTTGTGAGACTTACACACATTTATAATTGCATAGAGATTAAGGTATAAAAAGTTTGTAACCCTAATTACTGATATATACAATGTTTAATTAGTAATAAATTATTACAATGTTTAATCACAAGAATTGTAAACTTTTTATCTCCACTTCTTTACTAATATAGTTGTATAAATTGTTAGACACTTATAATGTACTCAACAATCTCTATG